CTCGAATGGGGTCCAAGTCCTGCAACTTTAAACAGCCCTAATGATAAAAACTCAACAACTTATTCACTCTATTGCTGCGGAGATGGTGAACTCACATGCTTCAACTATGACAAACCTCAACAAGAGCCCGAGCTCTTGATCAAGAAAAACTGCACAGAAATATCGTGGAAACCAGATTATTCTTGTGCAGCTGTTGGCTACGATGATGGCTCTATATCGTTCTTCAATAAAAAATTTGAAAGCTGTGGAAAAACGATCTTCATGCTAAAAAAACCAGTGGAGTGTCTTGCGTGGCATCCAGATAGCACTGTTACAGACTTGAATTTCTCTCACTTCAGGGACTATCTTGCTGTGTCTACGACTACCTCTATCATCACTGTTATCGATACATCGAGTATGACTGAAATGTTGAATAAACAAGAGGTGAATCAAGACACTAGTCAGAATTTCTACAAAGTCATTGCGAATCTCTCTGGACATTCTGATAGAATTTATTCACTAGCTTGGAGTCCACATATTAGTGGATATTTAGTTTCAGGCAGTGCTGATCAAACAGCTCAAGTATGGAAGATTGAAACACAGGAGATACTTGCAACTTACACTGGGCACTTCGGTGGAGTGCAGTCCGTAATGTGGAGCCCGATGGACCATAATTTCATATTTTCTGGCTCTGCCGACTGGTCCCTCCGCATTTGGAAATATTCAGATCAAAAAGTTGTCCTCCCAAGTGCAGAATCTGTCACTAACAAAAATAAATTGAAGAAACTAAGCAAGAAATCGATAGCAGCCGAGGAAACAAATGGAAAAGTCGAGCTAAATCATTCTAAAGGCTTACCAACAGACAAATCCAATGAAAATACAACGGGAGTAATTCTGAAAGCAAAAGAAAAAGATAAAAAACGAGGGAAAAAAGTAGTTCCGTATCTTCCAAATTATCGTAAAAAAATAAACGACAAGGAAACGATGCTCAAGTCTTGTTTGGAGTTAGCGAAGCAAGTGAAAGGTTTTGAAACGTCTCAAACAATTTTTGGAAGCAAAGATGTAATATCGAATATATTGGAAGAGGAGAGAGACACTCACTGGAACCAAGGACAGCTGATGATGGCAGTAGAGATGAGTCTCTGGGACAATAAATTGAAAGAAATGATTACAAAGGCCATGGAAACTCAATCGTTAACCGATTTTATGGTTTCTCTTGCTCCAAATCTCAGTATGAAATTTTGGAGAGAAGTGTGCGAGGCTTACGCTAATCAGCTGATCCAGGAGGATAATCCAGTGAAGGCTGCTTCCTATTTATTGAGCCTCCATAAAATCCATGCAGCAATTCAGCTTTTGATGCACGCAAAATTTTACAAAGAGGCTTATGTATTAGCAAAATGCAAATTAGATACTGATGATGACATTTTTCAGGAGATACATAAGGAATGGTTGGCCGCAGTCAGCAGGAGTGGCTCCTTCGAGGAGGCAGCATTGTGTTTGATAGCTAATGGAGAGTTCTCAGAAGCTGCGCGAATGCTAGCAAGAAGACAGGATGCTGCAACGCTTGCAACTGCTGCAAGATTAGCAAATATGGATAAGAATCAAGAGTTGAGCGATTCCCTCATTGAAGAGCTCCTAAATTTGCAATTGTCTAAATTTGATTATGAAGGATGTAAGAAAATATTGGAGGAATTTTCTAATTTGGAATATCGATTGATTCAAGTAGAGGCTCATCAAGAAGTGAAAAAAAAATTGGATGAGGCACATGAGATGAATTTCGTTGATAGCTGGCTGGAGGGAAACTCATCGTATGGATTAGTTGATCAGTTGAAGAAGAAGTTTGAAGTGATGGAAATTACTGCTCAAGACTTCTCGTCATTTTATAGGAAATTGGAGGAAGCGACTTACCCTTCAGGAAT